AGATAGTCTTAATATCTTACTAATTTTTTGGATATTTATTCATTTTTAATTATAAACAACAAGGTGCTAAAAAGTGACACTAATAAAGGCACCATAATAATTCTCTACTTTATTATGATATGATTCTCTATTTCATTAAATTATTTAAGATATTTTTTTATTTACTTTTTCTAGAAATTTTCAACAGTACTTTAATTACTTATTAATTATCTTAGATCTTGAAATAAATAAATTAATTAATTAAGTTACTAAATATTTAACTCTAAATCCTTACTTTAAGACATTATCACCAATTTCTTTGATGAATATAAGGCATTATGTATTTTAAATAATTTAATTAAAATATTTAAAATAACCTAAAAAAAATACAATAATTAATTGGTTTCATTTTGATATATGATATTAGTAATAATTTTTTTTGTTTTTAAAATATAATTTTATTTATTCTGGAGGGACTTGCAAAAATTTCAAATTAACTTGTTTTATTTTTTCCAAATATAATATTTTTAATAATTATTCAGGAGGTTGAATGATAATGAAAAAGTTGAGGATTTCGATAAATTTATATTAATTATTAATTTGAATATTGAAAACATTATTTTATGATTCAATAATGCTACTCTTTTAAATTGTTTTTATATTCACTTTGAAAAAGAAAATTAAGAGAAATAGTGATTAAAATGAAATCAAATAACAAAATTGTGTTTAATAAATTTTTGATTCAATTTTTGTAGTTCTATAAAGATTTAATATAAAAAAAAGCTGATTAATAAAATTGATTGTTTGACAATATCTTATTCCACTTAAATATGGATTGTCAAATTTTTTTATCTAAGCTCCAATTGGGTAATTGATAGAAATTTTCAGATTTATATCATTTAATTATTTTTAATTGGTAAGAAGTTTTTTAATATTAAACAATTATCTCAAAAATTTTAAACCTGGTTAAATATTATTTTAAAAAACTTAAGAGTTATATTAAATTTATTACATATAATTTTTTAAAAAGAAAAAACCAACCATAAATTGATTTGTTTCTATTTATAATAACTATTTTTTATGAAAGAGAATTATCTAACAATATGATTTTTTCTTCCAACTTAATAATTACTCTTTTTGGATCTATACTTTGTCAAATTAAAAATAAATTTCTAATATATATTTGCTTTAATACAATCAATTGTATAAACCTTTTTTAAACTTATTTATATCTATTTTCTTGGTCAAATTTAAGATATTGTTGACTGTTTCCTTCAAGTTGTATATCAATTTTCTTAAGCTATATCATTTAGTGAACTTACATTCATCTAAGCAATAATACTTTCGAACTTAAAATACTCAATTTTTAGATAAAGATAAGCAGAACAATCTATTTGTTCTAATATGCATCAGAAGATATAACTCAATTACATCAATGGATAGACACAAAAATCAAATAAATTATGTTTATTCTTATCTTTTTATAATTTCGTGGCCAAATCAAACTAATTGCTTTTCCTGACAATTGTATCTTTGACTGCCATAATCATCCTTTTTGTAAGGATCAATATAATACTAATTGTAATTCTTTATAAGATATTTCATTCTAAATGAGTTTAGAAGCATTATCCCGCATAAAACATTCTCAATCAGTGGCAAAAATGAATTGTATGTCCCTTTTTAGGAACTTCTTTAATATTAGAACCATGAATTAAATTATTATGAAATTATCTAAAGATAACGAAATAAACTGATGATAATTTTCAAAAAACTTTAAGGTATCGATTTTATACTAATGAATTATTAATATTTATTTTTATTTTAAACTCATTCTTTATTCTCATATAAGTGGATGAATTATTCATAACTTTTTAAATTAGTTCACAATTATTCACTTTTTATGATTTAATTAATTTTTTAATAAATAAAATGAATAGCTATGAATTTAAAAGAAAAATCAGTATTAAATAAATCTTGATCAATTCAGTATTATTTTAGTAGTTAATTTACAAGATAAAATTCATTATAATTATCTAATTTTTGTTATCCACTACCATAGGTTTTCAATCTATTTAAAATTCTTTAAAAATTTAAGCATGAAAGAAATATTACTTATGAAAAAACTTATAAGATCCAAATGGAATGAAAAAGAGTGGTTGATCTTATTTAGAAAATATTTATTACAAATTTATACAGCAAAAATTAATAAAGTAATCTTAATACTAATCTTAAAATGATTCTAATAAATTTTACAAATTTTTTGTAATATATGGAATAATTGAGAGCATTAGAGTTTTTAGAATTTTTTTATTTTGAGGGAAATACTAAACTCATAGTATTAAAAATAGTTTCAAAGTTAAAGTTTTGAAAACTTAAACGATAATATTAATCTTACTACATTAACTTAATGAAAATCAGCTTAGCTACCATTTTCAATACAGTTTTCATTCATTCACCAATTATCATTTTCTTAAGTTCAATAATCTAATGATTAACTTTAATATCTTTTCTGCTAAATATTTCTATATTTGTCTTTGTTCTTTGTAACTTTATATTTAATAATAAGGTAAATATATAAAAATGCTATTGCTAATTTTTATTTATTAACAAGAATTAAATATAGACATGAACAAACTATTAGATGTTATAATACTTTGTCAATATTAATGTAATTTATTCTCTCACTACAATACAAATTTTTAAGAATTAAGAAGGTCTTTTATTGGTTCTATTGTTTAATAGCTAGTTTAATAAATCTAGTACAAATCAAAATCTAAAAAATAGTTTCCATCAATTTTTAGAATTTGAATTTTAAATAATCAATTTATATTAATATCAAATTAAGGAATAGAGATATCTTATGGATTTAAATTAATCATTCTATTTAAGATATCTATGTTATTCTTACTTATTTCAATCCTTAAAAAAGTAATTCATTTTAATTAATTATTTAGGATTTGATTTTTATACATTTTATATTTTAAAAAGTATAAACCCATACCTTACTCTTCTTTAAAAAAAAATATTTGATTCTATAGAAAGAGATGAGTATTAGAATTAATAAAATATAACAGATGAAAGGAATGCTTAGTGAAGAATTTAAAAAAAAAGATATATCTATATGCTTTATTAAATATAAACGTTAAAATTAGTACTATAAAATAATTTTATTTAAATTTATATTTTCAATTTCTATTTTTAGTTAGTTAAAGGATTATTTTTGTGATATTATATGAAAATCTGTAGCATCAATAATTTTATAGAATTCATTTTTAGAAATCCTCTTTTTTCTAAATTAAATTATCTTTACTTTATTTCATTCCTAATTTTAGAGAATGTTTTTTAAGATTTCACGAATATTTTATTTTCGTTTTTTTTTAAGAAGTGAATAATGAAAAATCTACAATTATTAAGTGAATTGATTAAATCAATCAAGCTCAGAATCCTTTAGTTTATCAGCTGCTGTAATTCTTTTTCAGAACTAAAAACTTTGCTAGATCACATCTAAATATGAATTATTCTTGTGTTTCTTTCAGACATATCTTTAAGGTTTCAAATCTAGTCAATTGCTTGTGTTAAATTTACTTAAGATTAAGATGACAAGCTGTATACTCCCTTCTACCCTAATGTTATTTTATACCTATGCATCTATATTATTTATTTCCTTGTATTCCAATATACTACTATTTAAAATAACACTTATAGCCATTATAAATCATCAGACTAATAAGAAGACTCAAATGTATGCTATATCTATTTAACGTAATATTATCTATTCTTAACATTATCCATGATTAAATAGATAGATACAAAATCAGAGATATAAGAGAATGATGGATGATTTAAAAAGTTAAAATAAATAAGAAATGATTATTAATAAGTATACTTATAACATTTTTCATTATTTTATTTCTGACAATAGCCAATATAATAGAAAAATTCATAGAATTAAAATTAAAAAATACAAATGTAAAGCTTCCTATTCAATTAGAATCTAAATACTAAACTATTACTCTGAGATTAAATAATTTAAACATACTTTCTAACACTTTGAGCGGTATAATATCATAATAAATAGATGATATAATTCATTTAAATAATAATTTTATATTAAAAAATTGAAGATTTCTATTAATAAAATACGTCAAATTCAATACCATGATTAGAGAATCCAACATCATGTGACTTCTGAGACAAACCTACATTTGGGTCAAGCCCAAATACATGCTATTATGTGACTGCAGAGAAACTTTTTAGTGACCCCAAATTAGAGATCTTATAGTTTTTTAATTACCTTAAATTTCAAAAGCTGAATGATTTCGCAAGAAAGTATGTTATCTATAATTTTTTTGTATTGTTTATAGTATAATTTTAATATAAAATTCGAAGAATGAGCACATATAATTTCGAAAATGGAACCTGAATAAAAGACTTAATTGATTACTTAAAATGGTTACTTCTAAATATCTAGTATCATACGTTAATATCTAATTGGAATGTGAGCAATTTCTTCGACCATGAAGACAATAATAATGGTTCTTAGTTAATTTTTTTTCGTATGATCAAGTTTATAATATTTTTAATTTATTCTAATATAAATTAATATATTTTAGTGAATATTCATATCTCAAAGTAGCTAAATTAAAAATGGTAGATTCAATTTTTATCTTAATGGTAATATTTGTAGAAAATGCATTATTCCAAAGAATATAAGACATTAAAAAGTGAGCGAGAATGTTATAGATTTTACTATAAATAATTAAAGATATTACATGAAAATACTTAACAACACATTAAATTTCTTATTTTATTGTTTCACATTCAATTTATGATAACTTTATTTTTAAATATTGTATTCTAATCTTATTGCTCTTTCTGCAAAGCTATTATAATTTATAAATTGTACATTAATAATATAATTATTCAAATAATCTAATCCTTTTTATTCTCTTTATTTAATCTTCAAAAGAAAAGACTTATAATTTAAGCCATTTCTCAAAGGTAATCTCTTTAAATTTTATTCAATAATTCTATAACAAAATTTTATAGAATTTAAAAAGTTTATAAATTTTTGAAGATTTGCTTTTTCTATTAACATTTTCAAATATTTTTGGAAGTTCTATTATTTTATTTATGGCAATTTCTGCGATTTACCTCATCGTTTGCTTGATTGAGCATTCGAATTCATAATGGATAATCTCAACTAGTATGTTGAGCTCTAATTCAAAATTCACTAAATAGACCGGAATATACGCATATTATTATTCTGGAAACTTTCTATTGCCCTCAACCTATACTACTGCAAATTTTATCACTTGTACTACCCCTGCGATAAGTTACATTACTTTAAGTAGTACATATCCATCCGCTCAAACGTATTCCTCAATCAATTTCAGAGATGGGGATTATGTGTCAATAGATTTATTTTTTCAAGGTACATGGTTATCTGAAAATGTTTAATTTACAATAGGATCATTTTCATATACATACTCCTACACTTCCCCTTCAGATTATCAAATTATAACTGGGTTTTGTGATAACCTTCCTTTTTAAGTTAGAACCGTCAATTTTACAATTGTCTCCTCAGGTTCTGCTTAAATAACATTTACATCCTCTAATATTAATACAGGATTGGTTTCACTAAGAAATATTTTTATCTCAAACTTGTAAATCATCTGTTATCCATCATGTGACTAATGTACAGGTCCAAATTAGAATGAATGTACCAGTTGCTATTATGACTCACCAATAAACAACATTTGCCCACCTTGTCCATCAAATTTATACTATTGGAAGGAAGAAGGATGCAAAAATATTTGTGATATCTAAACTCCATTATATTAAAATGGATTTTGTTAATAATATCCAAGTAATTATTTTTAATTGAGATTATATAGTTAGCATCATCGATTATGATAATGTTTATTCTTATGATGTAAAATGGCAATTAATATATGACCAATAAGATGTAGATACATCACCAAAAGTTTTTTATTATGGTTCTTAAAATATATACGGAGTTTAATTCTGGAATCTATAAATTATTTAAAAATTTGAATAGTTATTACTAAGCAACCTATTTAATTGGATTGAAAATTTCAGTTATTTCTTTTAATGATATTATTTACATCGTGAATAAATTTTTAAGAAAAATTTATGTAGCCAATAACAATACATATTTTGGATCTATTTATAGAAATGCTTCTGGAGTTCAAACCCATAAATTAACAATTTCAGATTCTAAATAATATAATAATGCTTTTTCAACGTATTCCTCAACTACAAGATATGTATTAATTACATATGTTGATATTCCTAAATATTCATTTCTATTTTCAGCAATAGGCAATTATACGTAAATCTCAAATTTATTAACATTAGCGATGACTTAGCAGGATGGGGATTGTCTTAAATATAAATTACTTCAGGATATTGTCCTGAAAAGTGTTTATAATGTGAAGTAGAGCAAAAGATAAATATTAATTAGTAATATCGTTTTAATGTAAGCATTGTGAATATGGATACTATATTTATAGAGATGGTAAATGCAGATCTTATTGCTCATCCCCATATTAAAAATAAAATTGGGATTATTGTTAGGATTATGATGATGAAACACCTTGTATTTTTTATTTTATTATTAAGACTCTTAATATTTGATTTAAGAATATACAAATGCTGCCACAGACCCTGAATAATATGCATAATATACTTTAATTTCTCAAAATGGAACAAACTTTTTAAAAGGATCAGATATCTATTATTCATATTAATCAAATATTAGAGTTTTTGGAGGGCCTTTTGTATGGGCTTAAGCTAAATTTTAAAGAATTCATAATATATTATCTCCACATCATAGTGTCACTATTGCATTTTATATAGTTTATGGACCATCTTTCCCTTCAAATGGAGAATTTATATATTAGATTGAAAATAAAACACCAATTTCTAAATCAAGTAATAATTCTAATTTAATTAATTCTGATGGCTCAAAATATGATAAAGTCTATGAAAAAATCAACCATAATACAAATACATTAACCATCACTTGGGAATGTTTTGGTCCAAATAATGAACCAGTTTATGCTTATTGTGGATTCTACAATTATTATATTGCTGTTCATAATTGCTAACCTTATTGTTTATAATGTTCAAATTAAACTAAATGTACTTTGTGGAATAGTACTTATAATGCTAATATTGTAAAATTTTCTTAAGCAGAATGTATGAGCTATTAATATTATGATAAAGAATCTTTAAGATGTTTAAATTGTCCATCATCTTGTTTAACATGTACATCAAAAATAGATTGTAAAACATGCAAAACTACTTATATGTTATCTAAATTAGGATGCATTTGCAAAATCAATCAATATGAAGATTAAAATCAATGTTTGAACTGTCCTATAGAATGTAGTTAATGTTTAAGTTTAACTTATTGTTTAGAATGTTTAAATAGTAATAAGAGATAATTATTAAATGGGTAATGTAATTGTATTGATGGTTATTATCCAATTGTATCTAATCCTTAATGTTAACTTTGTCATTAGTTTTGTAAAACTTGTTATGGTCCTACTTCTAATGAGTGTTTAACTTGCAATAACAACATTATTAGTATAGAATAAATAGGATCAACTTGTAGATGTCAAACAGGCTCAGCTTATATGGATGTAAATAAAGCATGTTTTCCTTGTCATTCATCATGCTTAACTTGTTTTAGAACAACAATAGATGGTTGTTTAACATGCAATTCCTCTTAAAATAGATAATTAAAAGGGTTAAAATGTAGATGTGCATCTGGCTATTATGAATCAATTAATAGTTGTACAAGTATAAATAATAATAATTTTTATAGATTGTCCAAATACAGAAAATACATCTCTAAGTCAATGTTATAAATAATGTAATAATAATTAAAAAATATGGCATACAATAACTTGTAGTTTATGCGATTCTGGATATCATATAGTATCTGGAGAATGTCAACCAATTTGCGGAGATTTATAAATAAAAGAATATGAATAATGCGAAGATAGTAATACAGGTCTTAATGATTTATGCTTTAATTGTTAATTTTAATGTCCAAGTCATTGTTTGACATGTGATTAATCAACTAATTTACCTTGTCCTGATGTTTGTGGAGATGGAATTATTACAGGAATTGAAGAATGTGAAGATGGAAATACTATTTAATATGATGGATGTTTCAATTGTAAATATTAATGCTAACCTTCATGCACAAATTGTATAAGAGGAAATTGTTTTGAATGCCTGACTGCTGGTTGGTATATTGATATAACAGTTACTCCTTGGTAATGTAAAGAATTATGTGGAGATTTCATGATAGTTGGAAGTGAATAATGCGAAGATGGCAATCTTCAAGATACAGACGGTTGTAAGGATTGTAAATTTTTTTGTAGAATTGGTTGTTCTTCTTGTGATTACACTATTAATAAATGCTTAAGTTGTGAATTGGCTGGCTTTGTTCCTAAGTATTATTATTGTGATAATGTATGTGGAGATGGTTTAGTTGTAACAGATCCTTCTGGGATCAATTCAGAGGAATGTGATGATCGTAATACTAATAATAATGATGGTTGTAATAACCTTTGCTAATTTTAATGTTAAACATCATGCGCTAGTTGTATAAATAATAGATGCGCAATATGTGCAGATGGATATTTACTTACTAATGAAAAAATATGTATAGCAATTTGTGGAGATCTTAAGAGAGTACTTGGTGAACAATGCGATAATTCACCATATAAAAGTTGTATAAATTGCTAAATAAAATGTCAAAGTACTTGCATTGATTGTGATACAACTGGGCTTGGTTGTCTAAAATGTAAGACTGGATACAATAATAATGATTATATTTGTTAATCAATTTGTGGAGATTAAATAGTAACAAATGATGAACAATGTGATGATGGTAATTTAATAATTGGAGATGGCTGTCATTTCTGTTAATATAGTTGTTAGGATTCATGCCTTAATTGTATTTAAGGAGTCTGTTATAATTGTAAAGAAGGGTTTGAATTAATATAATCTAAATGTTATGCTAAATGTGGAGATGGAATTTAGAATGATAAAGAACAATGTGAAATGATCAAGTCCTTGCATATTTATCAAAGTTGCAAATCTTGTGTATTTACATGTGATTTGAATTGTCAATTGTGTTAATTTGGTAGATGTTAGAAATGCACAAAAGAATATGAATTATCCTCTAATTAATATTATTGTATTAAATCTTTACAATATAATTCAAAGATAGTTGAACACTGTTAAATATAAGTTTAAGACAATTGTATTTAATGCAAAAATTATGCTTATTTTGACAAGGTTGAATAAAAGTGTAATTTAAAAGAAAAACCGTTGAGCTTTTGCCAATATTAATTTAAATTATCTCCAGATTTATATTGTAGTTATTGTTTTGAGTATTGTGCAACTTGTAACGAAAACAATTGCATAAGTTGTCAAAGTGGCTATTATTTAGGTGACAACTTTTCTTGTATTTCATCTTGTGGAGATGGAATACTTGCACATGATGAAAAATGTGAAATAGATGATCAAAATTGTTTAAGTTGCATGTTTGAAGTTTCAAATTAATGTGAATTATATTTTGAAGATCATTGCTATAGATGTGAACAAGGTTTTTATATTAATTAATATACTAATATCTGTGAATCTAATTGTGGAGATGGAATAATAACATTTGATGAAGACTGTGAGGATAACAATTATAAAGAATATGATGGTTGTTATTATTGTAAATATTCTTGTAGCTAACAATGCTTAAATTGCATAAAAGGAGTTTGTTAAGAATGTAATAAAAACTACTACCTTTGGGATGGATTTTGTTATGGGGAAGAGAATGAAATTGATTAATTTCCTCAATGTAAAGAGTATGTTAATGGATAATGCTTAATGTGCTAGAAAGATTATAATTTAAATGAATATGGGGATTGTATTTCTGAATGTTAGAAAAGCTGTATTCAATGTTATGATGGTTAATGTTTTTAATGTGCTGAGCTATATGAGCTTTATGAGAATATATGCATTTTACCCTAGTAATGTTAAACAGGTTTGTAATTTAATTAAGAATTATAAATTTGTGAATCTTTATGTGGTGATGGATTTATTAATGGATGGGAAGAATGCGATGATTAAAATATGGAACAATTTGATGGTTGCTATTAGTGTAGATATGAGTGTGATGATAAATGCATTTAATGTATTTATGGTGAATGTTTTAAATGTTCTTAAGAATTTAATCTGAGTGAAAATAAATGCTTATCAAAATGTTAGGAGACTTGTCTTTATTGTTTTGAAGGAGTATGTTAGTTATGTAGCAATGGGTATTTTCTGAATGAATATTTAAATTGTATAAAAATTAGCTGTGAATATAATTTCAGTTGTACTTCTTTTGTATGTGGAAATGGTATAATTGAAGAACTAGAATAGTGTGATGATTAAAATCTAATTAATGATGATAATTGTAATAATTAATGTGAATAAAATTGTGATATTAATTGTACAAATTGTATTGATGGTGTTTGTTATGAGTGTAAAGAAGGATGGAGATTAAGTTTATCCTTTTGTGATTCTATTTGTGGAGATTAAATTATAGTTAGAAATGAAGAATGCGATGATGGTAATTAAATTGCTTATGATGGATGTTTTAAATGTTAATTTTAATCCACTCAATATTATGAAATCTTTTTTAATGGAATATGTCAATCATGTTAAAGTAATTATGAATTAGATTAATTAAATAATTCATGTAATTCAATATAACCTTAGCTAACCATTTAAGAGTAACCTAATTGTAAATTGTTTTAGAATAACTTATGTATTTTTGTTAAGTTGGATATCTAGATTTGATTACTAACACTTGTATAATTGAGTAAAATATCAATAAATGCTCTCAAAATTGTAAATAATGTTTGCTTTCACAATGTTTAGAATGTGAATTTGGATATTATGGAAATAAATGTATGCCTAAGTGTGGTGATGGCATATTAGTTTAATAAGAAGAATGTGACGATGGCAATTTATATGAATTAGATTCTTGTTTAAATTGTAAATATTAATGTCCTTAAAATTGCAATTAATGTGCTTATGGAATTTGTATACATTGTTTTTTTGGATTCTATTTGGATATTGTAAGTAATTCATGTCATTCAGTTTGTGGTGATAATATGCTAGCAACTGATGAAATTTGTGATGATGATAATGAATAGAGATATGATGGATGTTTCTAATGTAACTTTTAATGTCAAATAGAATGTCTGAATTGTGAATTTGGAAAATGTATAGAATGTTAATCTCCTTTAGTGGCAGTATAATCAAAAGGTATTTGTGAAGAATTAAACTTATGTGATAATTCAATAGGATTATATCAAAATGATTATAGTAATGATTGTTTGCCATTATGTGGAGATAGTATTGTTGCAGGCAATGAATAGTGCGAAGATTAGAATAATATTCCTTATGATGGATGTTATGAATGCTAAATTTAATGCTAGATAGGTTTTTCACTTTAATAAAATTCTTGTATTCCTATTTGTGGAGATGGAATTGTAATAAATGAATATGAAAATTGTGATGATTAAAATGATTAACCATATGATGGATGTTTTGAATGCTAATTTTAATGTACACAGAATTGTCTAATCTGCTCTCAAGGAACATGTCTTTAATGTGATATAGATTATTCCTTCGAGAATAATAAATGTTTGTTAAAAAAATAAAATGATGATCCTAATTCTACCATTATTAATTAATCTTAAAAAAAGAATGATTCAATTTTAGATAGTTAAAATTCATAATTGGAGCTATTAAATGAAAATAAGATATGCCAACAATCTGAATGTGTTTACTCTCAAAAACCCTCCATAAGACTGAATTTTAAAAATTAATCCTTTACTTTATAATATGTTCAAATTACATTTGATTAAGAAGTAAAATTTAGCAAGACAGAAATACAAGACTAGCAATTGTTTAACTTAAGCATAATTGACTTGGCTCCCTAGAATTATAATATCACAGTCAATTCTATTTAAATGATGTCATTAAATCTTTAATATGCTTAGTATTTAGTTGCCATTGAAATATTTATATAGCTTTAAACAAAACCAGTTCTCTTAGTTTTGCTTAATCAAGGAATTGTTAACTCAAATAATTAAACAATCATTAATCCTAATGAGTCAATTACTCTCTAATCACCTAAAATAATATCAAAATAACTTAAATCAATATCTGTAAAAGTTAAAGAATCAAATTAGGCATTTATGATTGGAGCTATTTCTATATGTTTAATTTCTTTTCTTTCTGGTGAAAGTTAGATTATTGTAGAAACACTAAATCTTTTATAATATCAATCATTCCTAAGATTTATAAATGTAGAATATCCTGAGAACCTCTAAATATATTTTTAAGCATATGACTTGTTATCTATAACATATTATTTTCAAGTTTTTGAAATCGATGATTATTTAAATATAATAACAGGATAAAAAAAGTAACTTGATCTAACTGGAAAATTTAAAGAATATAATGTAGATGCTGATCTTTTTAAGAATATCCTACCACAATTTATTTAATTTTTAGGATTGGTAACACTACCTTTTTTTGCCAAAACAATTTATAAAATATTTTCTAAGTTATGTTATTATATGAGAAAATTTTAACATGAAAAAACATTAACATCACAGATTTTAATTGCATTAATTAATTTAATACTGGGCATTAGATAGTGTATAAAATAATTAATGAAAATAAGATATCAACAAAAATATGATTTAATAAGACAATTAATTTACATTAATTCTTGGGATTTGCTGTTTAAAGTGATTTTGTAACTTCATTATAATAAGATAGATAATTTGAGAAGTATCTTAACCTCTTATTTTACACTTTTAATATTTTTCATATGTATTGGCTTTTAATTAAAATCATTAAGTATATTCAGTAGTCATTAGTTCAAAAATCTTAAAGCAAGGCTAGAAATAAAGTTTATTACTTTAGATATTTTCAGAACAATGTTTTTCCATATAGTATTAGTGTTTTTCTAAGAAGAATATATCTTATAAACCTTGTTAATATCTGTCAGCAATTTAAGTTAATGCTACTTAATCTACAAATATAAATAATGTTCTAAACTAGATAAGATTATATTCTTATTAGTTGAAGGAATTTTAACATTATTTAGTTTAAGTTTATTTTTTTATTTTGATACTAATGAAATTTATATGACATATGAAAACAAAGTTGTTTTAGGATTTTTTTAGATGAGTTTTTTGATTCTAAGTCTTGCAACAGTTTTTGGAAAGGATTTATTTTCAAAAGTATTAAATATTTATAAATTAATAAATAAAAAAAAGTAAGTGCCTGTTGCAAATAACTAATTATTTTATTTTTGAATTCAATATACATATACGTACATTTTAATATTATTTTGTTTTTCTCAGAATTAAAATTTAGTATTTTTAATAGTTTAATTTTACCCCTAGAATTTTCTGTAAAATAAAACAATCCTTATGGGAATCTCAAAATTTTTAAGACATGCATTATAATTTTATATTTTTAATCTTCAATTAATTATCAAAATTTAATTTTTTTTCTTTAAATTAGCATCAAATCCCTTTTTTATATATTTAGAGTTACCAATAATTATCAATCATCTTCAAACATATGGGGGAATAGAGTTTTAAATGATATTTGAGATTTCGAAGATCATTTGATTGAAATTTTCAAAAGGATTTTTTTTAGCTTAATTTATTTTGTGATACACATTATTTAAATTAGATATTTTTGTTTATCATTACTTATTTATCGATTTTTCTTAAATTACTCATTCATTATCCCATTATCTATTTATTTCACTTAGGTATTAAAAAAAGTGAGATATAATCTATAAAAAGTCAAAAAAATGTATTTAAAATTTATATCTAATATTATCAAATTTATTCAATTATTCTCCTATTTCAGCTCAATAAGTGCTTGATAAATATAAAAATTTTAAATAATATCTCAGCTTAATATGATATCTATAGGTTTTAATTTTTTTGATTTGCTAAGTATTTATTATTAAATTTCTTTGCAATTTTTAGATATACGTGCATAATTAATTTAACAAAAATTTATAAAGAAGTTAGCAAATTTCTATTTTTTCAAAATTATTGTTTACAAAGTAGTTTGTTATATGAAATAAATATAAAAATATTAGAGCAAAAGGCTATATTAATATTAAAATAGATACAGATTTTTAAATTTAATACTTAATTGAGTTAGTTAATTTAATTAAAATTTATTTTAATTTGAATCTAAGTTAAAATAGAAAACGATTAGATTGACAAACGAAAATAATCTTTTCCATGCTTTAACTCTAGAAAATTATATTTGATTCCAAAAAATTAATAAAAAAATAATTGAATA